AAATTGTCAGATGTAAAGTAATACTAATTAATTTTAGTGATAGTGACATGTAAATAAGTAAAAATATTTAATATAAATAGGTGATTGTTAGCTCTATTGGAGGTTGTTTCGGAAGAATGAGAAACCTACAGGCAAACGAGACCCCAAATAAATTCACCGACGAAAACTACTTTAAGATGCATCACGACACTGCTAGGCCATTCTAAATCGCAATAACTTATTCCGGACAAAACTAGTCACAACAATGATTCGCCGAGCAAACAATACAACGACGTGATTACAGAAAAAGCAGCAGCAGCGAAGATCGAAAGGAGAAGTGTAGGAGAAGAGCCAGGCAACGTAATCTCAGCACGAATCAAAATTTGATATGTTTTTCTCTTTTTTTTTCTGTCTTAAAAGTCCTACTCATTTATTTGTACTGATAATTCAATTAATGTAATACAAATTGTATATTACAAAAGTCACCCTTTATAAAATAAATCATTTAGACCTTTTATTAATTCTCCATTCCATATGGTTGTGCCTATTCATGGTGGCGGAGCTGACTTTTCACTGTCCTGTGTCGTCGGAGCGCGCTTATGTCTCGCTTATGGCGAGACGTAAGGCGGCCTCGCATAAAGTGATCGCTTTACTGGGCTGGGCTCTTATTGGCTCGCGGGAGGCAGTCCACAACTTCACTTTTTGTTTTTTCCATGTTTTTTGTTTCTTGTTTTTGCTTTTTTTTTACTTTTTATACTTCAAATATTCTAAATATACATTTTCCAAATACAGTCTACATTAAAAAATTTAAAAAAAATAATGTGTAGAAAAAATGTTTCACATGTCTATGAAAAATATATGAAAAAACAACATGTATGAAAAAAAGTTGGTCATGTATTTAAAAAATTGTTAATCAAGCATTTGAAAAATGCTAATCAAATATTTAAAAATGCTAACCAAGCATTTAAAAAATGTTAAATGTGTATAGAAAAAATGCTTCTCATGTATACAAAAAATATACAATGTATATGAAAAAAGTTTCATCATGTATTTCAATTTTTTTAATCAAGCATTTGAAAAATGTTAGTGAAGTATTTGAAAATGTTTAATCAAGCATTTGAATTATTTTTCTCATGTATGCGAATAATGTATACACAAAATATGCAATGTGTGTGAAAAAATTGATCATATATTTGAGAATGTTAATCAAACATTTGATAAAATATTAACCAAGCATTTGAAAAATGTTAAATGCGTATATAAAAAATGTTTCTCATGTATATGAATAATGTATACTAAAAAATATACAATTTGTATAACAAAATGTTGGTCACGTATTTAAAAAATGATAAACCTTTATACAAATGTGTTCTTGATGTATACGAGAAATTGTAGAGTATATATTAATTGAAAGTAGAAATATAAAACATATGTATTTTAAAAACTCAATTATGTATTTCCAAAATGTTCCTGATGCATACAAAAAAAAATATTGTCTGTCAAAAAATGTTTATTTCCATCGAAAAAACATTCACCATGTATTTGAAAAATGTTGACCATTTTTTTAAAAGTTTTCAAAACTTGAATTGAAGGAAGAATTTACATCATGTAATCAAAAAAATGTTCAACATTTGTCAACAGTTTTTCTTCGCATGTCACTAAAAATATATGTTGTGTGCTGAGAAAAATAGTTATGTGTTGAATAAAAAAATAACCAAGGAAAACCAACAAAAAATCAAAGAAAAACGAAGAAAACCAACAAAAATAAACAAAGTAAAAAAGTAAACCCCAAAGAAAACAAAGAAAAATTGAAAATAAAAAAGGAAACCAATGCAAAAAGAGCGAGGAAAAGTGAAATTCGATAAAGAAACAATGAAAATAAAAAAGAAACAAAGAAATCCCCATAGCAAAATAAAAATGATGCAAAAATTGAAACAATGTAAAACAAGAAACAAATAAAGAAAACCGATGAAAAACCAGAAAGAAAGAAACAGATCAAAGAAAACCAAAGAAAAAAGAAAGAAAAGAAAATGGCAGTGAAAACAAAAAAGAAGCAAAGAAAACCGAAGAAAATAAAAACTATGAAAACCCGGAAGGAAACGATGAAATTGGTGAAAAAAATTGAAAATATCTAAGAAAATGGTGAACGGAGTAGTCCACGACCGAACGTAGCAACGGCGAGAAGAAAAGACAAAACAAGAGGCGTGCTCCCCTACTTTTTGGTGTGACGCGCACACGAACCGTT